CCATCTTGTGATAGGCAGGCTGTAACCAACACTGTCAATCCAAAGCAGAAAAAGACATTTTTGCCATAAAAAGTCTTAGCATTAAGAAGCATGGTGCTGCATACTGACTTCAATCTCCATGTGAAAATGACTGTCATTGGATTAACAGTAGGAGATTTTATGCTGGAGGAACTTAAACTTAAGAACTAAACGAAATAATGCATTACTGCTTACTGCTGGAAGGGAAGATACCCATTTGTCAACAGGTCCTAAAGATGACTAAAACTAGGATAGGTCTCCTGCCTAAATCTTTAACCAGTCCAGTATCTGAAAGACCAATGAGGTCTCTGAGAAAAGCATTAGACTGTTGAAATGCGTAAGGGAACAACGTGAACAGTGAGACTATGCTTTTGATAAGATAGAGCCTCATCAACAGAGAATTTTTGAGCTATACAGTCACATTGAAAATGAACACACACACATGGAGGAAAATGATATATCACAGCTTTATAAATAAGGAGCCTTAGATACCCAATTTACAAGATGTTTCCAAATCTGTTAACCAAGATAAGCCAAACTATGCCTACACAAAATGTTATTTTACTGGATGCACTGTGTTTTGGTTACTGAAAACTCAAACTGCTTTCAAGCAGGTTGGCCATGGGAGAGAGCTGGAGTTAAGAGGGAAGGAAAGAATTGGTTAAAAATGCTGAAAAAATCAGCTAGTGATACACTTCTTTTATTTTGTAAGATCTAAAACTGCCCGTTTCCATTCTTTTCATCCATGTTTAACTGAAAGTTTTCAACACTTAAAAACCCAGCAACAACACTCAGCCCACAACATCCCAGTACATAACACCAACATTGCAGGGATTAAAACAGTTCACAGAGCTACAGACACACCGCTTCTCAGATCTTCAGCAGAAGCACAGGATTCCCAGTACTGAATAGAAGAATTAACCTAATTTCTTCAAGTTTTGAGATAGCCTTAAAAGTCAGTTTCTGTAGCAAGAATATATTTTAAAAGATTTCCATTTTTAATTTCTTTACTAAGCCAATAGTGTTTGTAAAACACTGTCTAGGTGCGTGCAGGGTAGGAACAGAAACTGTATACAACCACAGAGCCACATGCCTACAGCATTATGTGGTATCCTTGAGTCAGTTCTCCTTTTTAGAATGTTTCCAAGCATGGAATAAAGTTGCTTTTCAGACTGAGATGTGCCCTGGAAAAAAAAAAAAAAAGAAGAAGAAAAAAAACTCAATAAAAACTGTTATTGACTCCTTATCCTGTAAGTAGCACGCGCACACCTGGGAACCAGTTAAATAAACTACAGCTGAAAAAACAGTTTCTGGTCTGTCTGGTTTGACAGACCAGTGAAATCTTTGAGAAAAAGGGTTAGCAACCACAGAAGACATGCCTTTACTTTTCAGTCAAATCAATTTTCTCATCAGGTTTTTTTTCTCACCAAACTGGGGAGCATTGACACTTATTTGCAATGAAAGCTACCATTCTCCCAGATAAACCGTTCTCAAGTTCTGTGCTGTGGGAAGTCCAAGTCTAGTAGTCTGTGTTATATATAACCAGTGAAGACTTTGGATTGAAGGAAATCACAACTTGATCTGTCTTCATGACTGAGTCCAAGAACTCTGAATTTATAAAAGCCATATTAGATCAAATGACACTTGTCAAACACAAAGTTTTCAGAAAAAGTTTAGATTAACTCTTGAATATTAAAAAGGAAGTTTGTTTAAACGTGTAAACTCTTTGAAACACAGACTTGTACCTGGTGGGATGAGGGACCTGTAATTTTAGGTGTGAAATCACTACCCTAAAAAACAAAACCAAAACAGCAAAACAAACAACAACAAAAAGCCTTTCCTAATTGTTAGTGGACACTTTAACGTAGCTCATTTTTTGTAGCATGCAAGCTGAGGTAATGGCCAACAGTAAAGGCATTGGCCTGGAAACAGTCTCTGCAAGGATCCACTTCCCTATACTATCAGAGATCTCATCTGCCCTCTGTCCCAGCCTCCTGTGTTTCCTCCCACCCATGTATTCTAACACGTGATTTTAATATCTTTTAGACATCCTTGTACTCACCTGTCACGCTTCAAAGAACACAATGCCAAATGTCTGAGCCCACTTAGGAAACCGCCAGGAGGGTTTATTTTCTTTCTTCCTTTTCTTTTTTTTTAAATTAAACATAGAGTATCTTATTTCAGCTCTGCAAAAAGGCGAGCGCTGGAGCTGTAAAATAATCCTTTGGGACCAATCCCAGGTATATGAGATCTTATCATCTGTTGGCAAATTCACTAGTTACTGCCCTTTCTGTTTCAGTTCGGAAGAAATAGAACTAATTCTGATATGACAAAATGCATACCCGTGCTGTTTAAAAGTGATTTTTCATTTTCAAAAGCACATACTTCTTTTCGGTAGGGAAAAACAATAACTTGTGATTATGTTAGGGGGGTATGATAGCAGCAGACATGAATTAGAGACAGGATTATATTTTTGGTTAGGGGAGAAGGGGAGGACAGGTAAGAATTGGGCCCCGATGGGATGCACCCACGAGTGCTGAGGGAGCTGGCGGATGTTATCGCTAGGCCACTCTCCATCATCTTGGAAAGGTCCTGGAGCACAGGACAGGCGCCTGAGGACTGGAAGAAAGCCAATGTCACGCCAGTCTTCAAAAAGGGCAAGAAGGAGGAGCCAGGAAACTACAGGCCTGTCAGCCTCACCTCCATCCCTGGAAAGGTGATGGAGCAGCTCATCCTGGAGGTCTTCACTAAGCATATGAAGGACAAGAAGGTGATCAGGAGTAGTCAGCACAGATTCACTGAAGGGAAATCATGCTTAACCAACCCGAGAGCCTTCTATTTCTATGATGGGATGACTGGCTGGGTAGATGAGGGCAGAGCAGTGGATGTTGTCTCCCTGGACTTCAGCAGGCCTTTGGACACTGTCTCCCATCACATCCTCCTAGGGAAACTCAGGAAGCGTGGGCTGGATGAGTGGACAGTGAGGGGGATTGAGAACT